TGTAGCACTGACGAATCCAGCATTCAAATGGCTTGGCTCCGTGATCCAATTGAATGACCAAATCAGGGATAACACCACATTATATGCACTTAACACATATGGCGAGAACAACCTGCTCACAAATATACTCTGGTCGTTCTATAGATCTTGTGAACTCTATCCTGTAAGCTCCGGCAATATGCTAATTTCTTAAGTTTCCAAACACGAGTGCTTGCGATATATCCCAACGATACACTGATGCAACGTGATAACGAAGTTGCCTTTTTGTAGCTCCACCGCCACTGGTTCAGCCACGTCCTGAACACTTCAAAACAATGCATACTTACATAAATCACTTATCCAGATTGACATAGCCCTCCCCTGGATGGTCAGATTAGGANAGGATAAAGACCAACGAAACCTTCTGACCGTTTGCGCGGCTGAAACAGGTATTGGGTCTTAATTTGTACTGACCTTGCCACAAATCGACTAGTATGGACAGCAGCAATCCATATAAAATCTACAAACTTACCACCAAATGTTTGGCATAGATGAGATATGTTTATTTGGAAGTTTTGTGTTGACTAAGTTATCTATATCCAAGGTTGGAAGCTGGTTTTGGTGTTGAGGAATTCAAACACCCTACCTGAATAGTTGAGGGACTCCTCACAAGTGGTTTGTTCATCTTTGCCACGTGTGTTTTTGCGTCATACCCGTAGATGATATGTCTCTGCCTGGTTCGCTTCGCTGGCCTGAGCTTCTCACTCAACTGCGGTGTCGAACGCAGCTGTAAAAAATGTCGGTTTGCTTAAGCGGGTCTTTACCCGGTTTGAGTCAGCGCTATCAGCATACATTCATCTACTTCAGGTATGGAATCCATGGCTACAGTGTGATTGCAAAATGCTGGAGCCTCCACAAAGGATGACCACCAAAATGGTTAGTAGGTTGAATCGTTATCCATACACAGAGAGACTGAATTCACTCAGGTTGTATTCCAATCACTACCGGTGCATCAGAGTAGATATGATTGTGCTATATCAAATAATGTAAAACCCAAACCCTCCTTGTCAACCGCTGCTAAAAATATCACCCAACGTTCATCGTAGAGGACATCCGTTCAAACTAGTTGACTCCAGATGCTGATTGGAATGCCGGCGTTAGTCATTCGCAGTTAGAGTGTTTTCGATCTGTAACTCTCTCCAAACCTCACGTCGTCTGTGCACGAAGTATTGAATCTTTCAAACTGAGACTCGATGAAACATTAGGACACCTTACATTCTCACATAAGTGAAGCTGCGCACAGCAGTGGAAGAATCCCGCATCACGTGGCATTTTACACAAGGAATTGTATGTATCACTATCTTTTAACCACTGCAAGGATCCATGGGACGAAAGGCTTCTAAGTTATTCCCATGATAAATCTTTGAAACTTTGATAGTGAGCGATCGTTGACCCAGCACGCTAGACTGTTCATGCTCAGTACGCAACAATGTGACAGTTCTTGGCCGTCGTCAACCATAAAGGAATTCATCAAACAAAGAGCGTTTTTCCAATAGACCACTTCCAAGTAAGGTTTCCGCTACGACTTAACGGGAAATACTCACAGAAAAAATTGTGCAGCTGTAAACTTCCAGTTTATATCACAGTATCAGGCAGGACTTAGCGACCACAATTCAACAAAAGTTCGGCACTGAGTATTGAATACATGTCTACGCGCTTATTCAGAGTTGGACGATCTCAGTTTAGGTGCTTATTGTTACACAACATCTCGCGGGAGAAGTACTCATCCTCCACTGATCTTACAGATGAATGTTTTCTGTCAGGATATTTTTCTCACTTGCAACGTGCCTAGATCCTCAGCTTTCACGATTTCCAAGTATCACTGAGACGCTGAATATGGTGATTAGTAAACGGAATTTATTTACTTGTTGAAGGAATTCTTCGGGCACACACTACCATATCGAATGAAGGCAATTCAGTCAGCTTCCGTTTTTTTTCGTATTTATCCGCCAGAACTGTTCTGACCTCTTCACAGTCAACCGGATAAAACAGTGTACTCTGTACTACAATCAGAATGGTAAGGTAAAATACCCACGGATAAGAGTTGCTTTACGCGCGTATACAGATGCACAAACGACGCACTACATTTTCGGAGGGAAACGCTTCCAAAAAAAACTCTGTTTGACTTTCGCACCATCACATACTCGAGGGCAAAATGAGCGCGCGTTTTCGTGAGAATGAGTAACACACAATGCATTTTTTAAATCCGTATTGTACAAGGTTTGAAAACCTTCATTATGGGCTGGAGTGAATGGTCCGGGGTATGCTGAGAGTGGGAGAGTGGGGATAGACGATTGGATTCGGGGTGGGGGGTGGGGCGGGACAAATTCACAACTGAAGGATGAAAATGGATGTGTGCGGGAAATGCAGGTCAAAAGTTAGGACCCCACGCGCCTTCCCCGCTGCTCAATAACAACCTAGAAGATCATGGCTTCCTCAACTGGGATTTGAGAGTCTGGTTGTGGTATCCTATAAACAGCAGATCAAATACTATATTGATTTATGTATATATGTGTGTGTACATGTGCGGGTATATTATATTTGTTTAAATGCGTAGAAAGAACGTGGCGCGCAATTGCGGTACATGTACATATAGGTGAGGGCGATAGCGGATACATACAGGCACAGACACACACAGACTGGAGGCATTCTGAACAATACTCTAAGTTGACAAGTAAAACAAGTATTTTTCTTTCTCGTATCGTGGTCTGTGTTCCTTTGAGACTGAATTGAGTCACTTGAGGAATATTATGAACAGACTGTGGGTTCGTGTGTATGGGTGTGTGAATGTGCACGCCCCCGCCTCCGATGAAATCACACCTTAGGATTCACTGGTTCACTCGTGAAGTCCCCGAAGACCTGGATCATACGCGTGCAGCTCACGTGATCGTTGTTGAGATTGGTCCGGTCGTTGATGGTGTGCGTGTGGATTGATCTGCGTCAGATCGCTACCGCCGGATTCCACGTTGGTGAATTCGTGCGAAATGGAGGGGAACGAGGAGCCCACAGGATTCAAACAGTAGCCCAATGAGGATTGCATAAAGCGGTTGTGAGGTACAAATAAAGCCGATTGTGAATTGGCTTCCAAATTAGATTCATTCCTTGCCTGATATGAATCAAATCGCAGATCCGCATCACCGGTTTGTTCAGATCCATGTGGTTGCCGGTTAGATATTTGTGCAGGTAATTTATCAGGTTCTGATTGTCCTGTAAACAGGGAATTTCGTAAGGGGAATGAGTGAGATCCTGCAGATGGAATAGATCGCATCAAATCGATCATGGGTTGCGTGGGGAATGGGTGTGACGAATAGGGGGAATGGAAACGACCGAAACCGGTGGTCATCATTTCACTGTAGTGTGATTCTGTCAGAAGTGTTTTGGAATTTTGGAGCATGGGATGCTGTATTGATCGCATATAGGGATAATCAGTACTGTCCACCGAGTCCAAAGACGGTCGGCCAGGACATGAAACATCGGGAGTGAATGTATTCATAGAATCATATCGGAATCCATGTTCCTGTGGACCAGATAATTTCATATATCTACCGGGTGCGTTACACAGAGCCTCATCCTCATCCAGCATAGGATCACCTTCCTCTTCGATCTCATCTTCGTCCTCAACATCCTCAGAGCCAGAAATATCATCCTGTTCACCACCAGCCCCATCGTCTGCGATTGACCGTAGTCGATGATCGGGATCGTCTTGCGAAGCCTGAGATCCGGTGGAGTCACATGACTTCTTTCCGGTCCCCGAAGGATTTGGTGCTGAGCTGGAATTTTGGGTCATCGGACTGCCCCGGCCGGTAGCGTTGTTCCCGGAGTTGTTTGTTTTCTGATGCCAGGACATTTTGTTCTCCTTTTTCAAACGGCGTCGTGCATTGGCAAACCACGTCGAAACCTGATTGAAGGGGTAGATAGACATGTATATGTGATGTTTTTTTGATACAAAATGAACTAACAACTTGCTTTGGTTTTCAATGGAGAAAACTGTTTTTTTTAATCTCTGAAACTAAAAATTGGAAACCTAATTTTTTTCAATTTAATACCTCTTCATAGCTTTAATTCTGCTGATAAGTGGAAATCGCAATATCGATTGCAAGTTGCCTACCACCGCTTTATCATACCTGTTCCAATTATGTGATCACATTGGGACATTTNGGACATTTCTTGTTTGTCTCAGTTAAAACAATCCGCTTTCCATACAGTAACTTTCGGTCTGTCAGTGGGGGCTTCTGAATTTGAAGACTGCTTAGTTTGTAAGATTTGAAACGAGAATTGAGAGTACAAGGATTGTCTGTCTGTCTGTCTGTCTGTCTGTCTGTCTGTCTGTCTGTCTGTCTGTCTGTCTGCATAGACGTCAGACAGCATCCATTCACACTTCGATACTAAAAGCGGATATCACGCTTGCAATCCTCCTGTGAGATTCCGAGTTGGATCCCCACTGGATGGGCGAACTTGAGCCCATGATGGGACATTAGTGGATCAGTGGAATAGCTACACAATGCTTATTACCTTCTCAGTTCACACTTCGTTTGTCTTATACACGATGAAATTTAGTCGGCATGGGATATAGAAAATAATTCCCTTCTACTCACCGCAAGGATTGCAACCAAAAGATGGGACAGAACTAGCAGGTATCAAATGAACGAAATTTTTTTTTCTTACCTGAGTTAAGGTCATTTTTGTGATAATGGCCAACATGATTTTCTCTCCTTTGCTCGGATACGGATTTTTGATATGTTCCTGCAGCCAAACTTTCAATGTGGTCGTACTCTCTCGAGTGGCATTCTTTCTTCGCGTTCCGTCCAGACCAAAACCGTAACTGTGTGTGTTGGAAGGGGAGAGGGGCGGGGCGAATGGTAATACATTGTATGTGTGCATGTATTAATTTGTTAAATTGAACAAAATGGAATGCGTATTGATGAACAAAACCGGAGAAAATTCATTTTCTGGTTGTACTTATGCAAAAGTGGTGTGCAGAAAGTGATTTATATGATCAGTGCCATCCTGTCTATCTGTCTGTCTGTTTATCTGTTTTTCTTGTTCCACCGTCCGTTGCGAACGGAGCTCGCAGTCATTGGGCCCGAATTTGACAAGCTATACTTGGGAGAACAAAGTACGTCAAGATAACAAAAACAACACGGAATAAACGCTGCAGTCACGTGACCCCATTTGTCAAATATATTCAGGTCCAATTCACAGGAATTCGATGTGAATTAGTTTGCGACTGATTAATGCTTTCATTGCACTTATTTTCAATGGTTGTTGATCAATTTTAATCGATAGTTGATTATCTTTCGTATATACCTCTGAATAGCGTTCCAGATATGGGCTTTTTTAATCAAAACTGAGGTATCAGTTTTTGTGTTCATTGATGCAAAGCAGGAAATTTTGTTATCACTATCTTTAAGAATAGTTTGATGATGATGAGGATGAGGACGACTACGACGACGACGAATATTCCCTTGATTGTGGACATCATGATGACCGTGATGATATTAATAGTAATAATAATAATAAATGATAAGATACTTTACTCCATGGTGAACACCGTAACTTGACCCAGTTGTTAAATGATCCGGTAAGATCTGTGTTAGCCCATGTGCATTAATATATTGATTGTAATGACGTTTTATAAAATTACTCGCCACTTTTGCCACGAGATCGGTGAGTATTCTTTGATAATAACTGCGTACAAATCGAACCAAACGGTTTCCTAAACGGATATTTTATGATGAATTCTGTATCTTTCACCTCATGCAATCTCATATCATTCGAACTAACAACCAGCCTATAACAGATCAGTAAATTTTACCTGGTTCAATAAAATGAACTGGATTACTCATATGGATTGGAAGTAATCTATATCTGGTCTACCCAGCACAAGACGTCGGGAATGGTCAAATTGGCCGCGTTTAAACTTTCTACAGCTTCCGAACCCTAGTTGGTATTGAACTACTCACCTTGGCGGTCCCGGATGTGGTCCAAAATGTCTGACTGGGGTATAGGATCCGTAACCCGGAGGAACATGGGAGGACATTGGTCCCAAGTGTGCCGGATGATGTGGCGGAGCCAATGGTGGCGGCGGTCCCGAGAGTGGTGTTGGTGTGGCTTGTGCTTGTGGGGCTAAGTTGTGAATTCCAGTCATGTAAGGATTTGACACGTNACGTGAAACGGGAATGAAGAAGTACCAATGGGTGTGGATGCATGCCCCGCGAACGTTTTGACTTCATACGGGTTGAGTCGGGCGGCCAGGTTTGTTTCCGATGTGTGTGACAATGGAGGCGGTTTATGCGTCAATGCTGAAGAAATTCCGGAATCCATGCAGTGCGGTGTAAGGTTCTGTGGTGATGGCTGCAGTGGTGGCGGTAAACCCAGACCAGGGGGTGGATAACCTCCGGAAGCGGTTGACGGTATGGCAGTGGGGGCTGTGGTCGTCATAATCTCCGTTGTAGATCGGGAATGATGCGATACACTGGCCACGGCTACCGCTGCGGCCACATACGCTGCCGCAGCAATTTGTTGTGATGGCGGTCGAACGCTTTCATTCATCCCCGCCGGTGGACTGAAACCTTCGTTTTGGGAACTGGAACCTTCATCTGGTGTGGAGCGAAAATGGCCAAATGCTTCCATTCGCATTCGAGACAAATTGTGCGAATAGTTAGCCATCTCCCGAGCGATCAGCCCCGTGTCACTCGGTTCTGGAGTTGAATGGTGGTGGTGTTGTGTAGTAGATGGATGAGATTGTGGTTGCATCTGTTGGTGTTGCTGATGATGTTGGAGCGCGGAATTTTGATAAGACAGATCGCTTGCTTCACCTATTCCAGCATAAGGAACTTGGTGATCCCAGGTGCGAATTAACTTCTCGCGAGTTTTACTCGCAACTTCATCGTCATCCACGGTAGTGGAATAACTGTTCTGTTCGGTTTGACTGAGAGCTGTCGAATCGCTGAACAACGCTTTGGCACAGAATAATTGATTCAAGTACGGAGTTCTGTTGGGCTGCGAATAGGATTCTGTGGATTGTGTCGCCTTAGATGAATCCGCCAGATGCGTGGACAGGGAGGATGTGGCAGAAGATGAGGATAACGAGCTGCCGGCACCAGTCCCACCACCAACCATCGGTGGTGGAGCGGGTACTGATGGTTGCAGTTGTGGCGGTGGTGGTGGCCCTTCTCCACCGCAGCTATCCGTGCTTTCCGGATCGGACGACTGGTTTTGCAGAGTAAATTCACTGGGTGAATCTGTATCATCGAGTAATTTGGCCATATCTGTACTCTCCGTAATGTCTGAATTGAGTGGGGGAACCAGTACCGAACCCAAACAGGAATCCGAAAGTGTGGCCGAACTCGAATAAACGGTAGTCGAGTTACCAAACTGGTCCGTGCCGTTTCGCGATTCCCCCGGTGAAGAACGATCAAACGAATTGGGTGACTGCGAGGGATACGGGAATGATCGAGATCCACTTCGTGATAGGTGGGAGCGTTCAGGAGGAAGGAGACTTTGGGATAGGGGAGCACGCCAAGATTTGTAGGGATCAGAAAAGAGCAGTGTGTTGTCCAAATGCTCCGATTTATTCCACAACGAGGACGTCAGTGGACTGGACAGTTCATAGTTGGAAGAGGTCTGAAGCGAAAAGAAATCGAATGAATTGTTCAAAAATGTACTGATAATGTTTGAGTAGTATCAAATGTGTAACATGAGTATAGCACTTTAATAAAATGTTCATCATTCAAATCACATCATCAAGCGGCATTAGAGTTTGCAACACGGAAGAAGCTGATGAATACTTCAGACGGAGAAATGAGTCAACCAAATCGCAATAGTCCAGAGGGGGGGGGGTGATTGAAGAGCCCGATTCTTCTTGAAACAGGGGGAGAGGGTAGGAAAATTGTTTCTTTACGAGAGATTTAGTTAGTCAGGTAAC